CGACCGGACCCAAAAAAAAAAATTGTGTACTAATTTCCTGTGTTGCTTCTTTCCTTTGCTATAATGCCTCTTCCATTAGGAAAAAGAATATGATACTGTTTCTTCCCTGCTATTCCCTTTGATAGACATTGAGACTTCCCTTATTTTAGGAGGCAGTGGTTAAACTTTGGAGAGCAGTTATTGAGTTGGAGTATGATGTAGGAATAGAGACTTTGGCCTCCTGCCTAAGCAAAGTTTGAGATTCTCCATAGCCACACCTCTGTTGCCATAAATAGCAGCTTCTGTGTTGGCCGCCAAAGGAGCTGTCCTACGAAAACTGGTGGAGGGCCCTGGTTGTAGACTGAGGCCTTTGAAGGACTTCCCAGAGAATATGTCTTCTTTGGGTAAATATTTGTTGCATTAAATATGAAATCTCATGTCCAAGTAGAGTTGCTCCTTTCCTGTCTAAATTGTTCACATTCTCTTTAATATTTCCTAGAGATTGATGGAAGCAGAAACAAAAACACTTCCCCTGGAGAACGCATCCATCCTTTCAGAGGGCTCTCTACAGGAAGGGCACCGATTATGGATTGGCAACCTAGACCCCAAAATCACAGAGTAAGTCTTATGTCACTGTGATTCATTACCTACAGTATGGGTAGTGATAATGTTCACAAGAATTTCAAGAGGTATAGGATATATTTAGCCTTCTTATTTATGTTTAATTTCTCTTTGAAGAGAATGTTATTTGGTATTAGCCTGTTGTCACTTTTTTTTTTTAACATTTGCACTCTTCTACCTTAAGGACACAAACTTGGTTAAAAATATACAACTTTTTTCTACTTGTCAAATGTTTTCTTATTTCCAAGTATTTGAATCTTTATAGTTAGTGACTATAGGAAATTGTGTTATAGAATCAGCCTTTAATATATTTTGTCTCCTAGAAAAAGGAACAGCTGAACGATCACGATATTTGTAAACAGGCAGAAGAGTCCCACTTCAGTAAAGTTCCTATGTAAGCAGCCCGACACCATAGAAAATGAGAGTGGGAAGAGATCTCAGAGATCATCCTAGTCTCTTTGGTCTTTATTCACTAAATAAATTTGAATGATTGTTGTGTGCAAAATACCATCCTAAGTAGTTTTCAGACTTTTTAAATTTGAGGAGCCTTGTCATAAAGTAAAAATAATCAGAAACTATATATAAAAGAAAATTTCAGCCAGACATCAGTAGCTTACACCTATAACCCTAGTTACTCAAGAGGCTGAGATCTCAGGATTGTGGTTCAAAGTCAACCCAGGCAGACAAATCCACAAGACTTGTCTCTAATTAACCAGAAAAAAAAAGTCTGAATTGGAGATGTAGCTCAAGTGGTAGAGTTCTAACTATGAGCAAAAAAAGCTGAAAATGCAAGGCCTAGTGTTTAAGCCTCAACACTTGGGCAAAAAGAAAAGGCTCAGAGAAGCTCTGATCAAACTTTGGGGAAGATGTGTTTAAAGCCTTTAGTCACAACCCTTTCTTTGTCAATCCCTGATGACTCGCCACTCTTTCCATCGTAGCCATTATCGTGGAAAGGAATTTCTTAGCAAAGAATTGAGCGGTTATTTCTTCACCCAGTTGTTTAGTAGGGGGAAAGTAGTGATTGGTGACAAGAGTAGTAAAAGATAGTGGATTAAACACAGAGCTGATGCTTAGAGAAGACATAAAGTATATCCTTAGCTCGAGAAAGTACTCCCAGTGAAATAGTGCAAAAGACTAGAGAAGAGGGAATGGAACATCTGTTGAAGAAAAGTATATATAAGAATAAGAGTTAAGCCAGGCACCAGTGGCTCATTCCTATAATCCTAGCTACTCGGAGTCTGAGATCTGAGGATTGCAGTTTGAAGCAAACTGGGCAAGAGAATCCTTGAGCCTCTTATCTCCATTTAATCACACGCAAAAAAAAAAAAAGAGAGAAAGAGAAAAGGAAGAAAAAAGCCAGGAATGGTGCTGTGGCTCAAGTGGTGGAGCACTAGCTTTGAACACAGAAGTGCCCAGGCCCTGAATTCAAGTCCCAGGAGAAGCACCAAAAAAAAAAAAAAATTGGGATAAGGAGAAAGGAAAGGGAATGTAAACTTACACCACAGGATCACAACAGAAAGTTGAACTCCTTAAACCTTTTGAAGCTCAAATTAGCTAAGTGTAGATATGTTTGGGTCTCACTATAAATTTATTATATTAATTTGTGTTACCTTGGCCAAGTGACTCTGGAATATAGATTGCATTTATTGCATTCTCTCACATGACTCATGGCCTTATGGAAGACTGTGTGAATCTGCCCCTGCTCTCAGTTAATATATCTGATGTTTTTGCTATTTTGTGCCAATCCTGGGACTTGAACTCAAGGCCTGTTGCTGTCTCTGAGCTTTTTTGCTTAAGAATAGCCCTTTACCACTTGAGTCACAGTTCTACTTCCAGCGTTTTGCTGGTTAATTGGAAGTAAGAGTCCCTGGGACTTTTCTACCAGGCTGGCTTCCTTAGATCTCATCTTTCTGAGTAGGATTACAGATGTGAGCCACCAGGCAGCTAGCAAAATAGGTAAACTTTTGTATCCTACTCCTCTCAGGATAAATAATGAGGAGCCTGGAAGAATAATTAAAATACAGTCCTTCCCAAGCATTAGATTACTATAAGATACAGTTTATTTGAACATATGGTACTTGTCTTGTAGTTAATTCTCAGTAAATGTTGTTAGTTGAATCCAGATCTCTAAGCTTCTAATGACCCTTGATAGAAGTTTACAAAACATCTTCCAGTTTCTTAATTAAACTTAGCCCTTCACCTAGGAATTACTGCCAGTTGCTGCTATTTCCCATTTAATCAACCCTTCTTATCTCTTTCCTGTCTGTATCTTTTCTTTTTACCGTCCGTCCCTCCTAACCTCTTGTTAGAAAGCAAGGTATACATTTCTTGTCATAAATACCATTACAGAGACCTGTAAAATAGTGACAATTTTTTACTTCTAAACAGCATTTTCCCAAATTTATTTTACCACTAGTACTAGACATTCTGTGTATGTCTTGATTATTAGTCTGAGTCTTGTTAGAGTTATACTAGAATGTCCAGTCCCCTCTCAAAAAAAATAATCATTCCCAGCTGATTGTCTAGCACTTTACTATCATGCCTCCTGTTTGTTTGTGTTTACTCTTTGTTGCAATACTCATTATTTAAAGGTGATGCTACATGCCAGAAGTACTCATATGACTAAGCAGACTTTAGAGGTTTGGATTTGATGATACACCCCTATTTATGGAGGTAGCAAAATCCAAACCTACGTTCTCTCCACTCTATTCTAATTCCCCAACTACATTACACCTCATATTTCTTACCTATAAAATGAGAATGTTCAACTGAATGATAGGAACATTTCTAATTCTAAAGTTATATGAGGTTCACATATTTCAGCCCATAACAACTTAGGGAGGTAAAGGAAACAAATATTTCTTTCCTTGTTTCATAGGAAAAGAAGAGTTAAGTGAGTTGGTTTAACGTACTGAAGTTAATGATAGGACTAATTTCCTACTCCCTGATTTAGAGTGTTTTAAATAAATATTCTAATAGTCTCAGTAAATGAATAGTCATGACCCAAAGTATCCTGTTTCAACTTTAAACATGTGGGTCTTCTTTTCAGTTGTTGTGGGACCTAAAGCTAAACTATACCTCTAAATATCACTTACCAGTGCTCTCAACAGAGAAGCCAAAACATATCCTTTGACATCTATTTTCCACACTGTGGTTTCCTCTAAAATTAATTAAGTAATTATTACTGGCTTTCTTTTCAAATATTGGATATGCTATGTAAAAAAGCCATATTATAAACACTGCATCATACATGAGCGAGAATTCAGTCATCGAAATTCTAATTGAGCATTTTAAGTGAAAGGGAAATAAGCAAAATCATGTTAAGCAGGAATAAGGAAATTGTTTAAGTATAGGCAGGAAGTCAGGACAACTTTTTTGGCCTAAAGAGAGGTTAAATACTAAATGATGATAAAGAGAATAGTTGTGTAGATTGCAGCCTCTCAGGCTATGACAAGGTCTTGTCAAACTTGTAAGAAAAGTTTTAATTTCATGTAGAAGAGATTCCTTGTGTTAAAAGGAGCCTGGCTCCATTGAAGTAATGTTTTTAGAAAAGCCCTCATAAAAGTAAGATGAATTAGAAGGTCAGAGACTAAAGGTGAAGATTGATTGGGAGAGGCTGCCATAACCAACCCTGCCATCATCACACCGTCACTAGATAGAGTGAACTTCTAGACCAGTGGGTGAGACTGAGATATGAGAAATGGGATTGAAGAGGAGTGGAGAGTTGAAGTCTATCCTAAGGAGTATTTGGTTTGGATTTGTGGTGCTGGGGTTGAACCCAAGGCATTGAGTTCCTAAACAGCCTTGTCTGAGGAATGTAAATGTATCTTGCTCCCACTGATCATGAATGAGGTAGTTGAAAAGGGTCTTCAATTTGTTGCAAGTAAGTGATCAACTTGGAATACATTAAAAGCTTAAAAGCAGTGGAGAGCCAGTCCAGTGGAAGTGTCCTGATGCTGATCTCAGGGTTTATCTGGGTAAATCAGAATGCAAAGGAAAATAAATTCATGAACCGTGATCGAATGTTGTATCCCTGAGAAAAATGTCTTTGTCTCAGCTGACTCCTTATGTTTCCCTCATTGTCTCCTTCTTTTGGGGTCTTGCTTTTTGTGAGACAGCCTTTAATCTTTGCTTACTGAAGTCTGAAACTATGGTTTCATGGTGGAACACACCTGTTTTCCCATCACTCAGAAGCATGAAGCAGGAGGATTCCGAATTTGAGGCCAGGGCTTGGAAGGTAGCTCAGTGGTAGAGTGCTTGCCTTGCATGCATGAGGCCCTGGGTTCGATTCCTCAGCACCACATAAGCGGAAAAAGCCAGAAGTTGCGCTGTGGTTCAAGTGGTAGAGCAGGAAAAAAAAAAAAACTAATCATAACTGAATTTGAGGCCAGCCTGAGCTACATAGTGAGACCTTGTCAGGGACGGAGGAGGCAGGGCGGGGGGAAAGGGGCAGGGTACTGAAGTATGAAACCATTTAATAAGGTATATAGTACAGAAAATAATGATTCCCTCAGTAATTTGTATAGATTTACAAAGAAAACTTCCTTTAAAACAAATTGTTCATTAAAATTAATCTTATATCACTTCATTGGCTTCTCATTAGAATTGCTTGTTCTGACCATCTTTTAGTGGGTCAGATTCAAACCTCTTTTACATGGTATTCCCTCTTGCTGACCTATACAAAGCTCTTTTTTTTTGGGGGGGGGGTCGGTCATGGGGCTTGAACTCTGGGCCTGGGCACTGTCCCTGCACTCTTCAACTCAAGGCCAGTGCTCTATCACTTGAGCCACAGTGCCACTTCCCATTTTCTATTGGTTTATTGGAGATAAGAGTCTCACAGACTTTCCTGCCTGGGCTGGCTTTGAACAATGATCCTTAGATCTCAGCCTCCTGAGTAGCTAGGATTACAGGTGTGAGCCACTGGTGCCTGGCTCTCAAAGCTTTTTTTAGCTACTGCCTTCCCTGCACAATTGAGTTCCTTTGTCACTGTGTGCCTATACATACCTCTGTGTGTAAATATCATACTGTTTCACAATTATGTGTAGCTTTGACCAGAATGTAAGGGCCCTCAAGGGAGATTTATTCATCTACACAGTCCAAGTACCTAATTGGTTCTGGATACATACATAGGTGTCTGTTTTAACATTTGCATAGATTGTTTCTGTCATGCAGCAGGAAGACTTACCACAGAAAATACTGAATAGGTTATGGAATATGTGGTATACCAACTGAATTGCTCCTGCAGGCAGCAGGACACATGTTTCATTAAGTGAAGCATGCCTGGGATGAGTAGTGAGCTCTCCCATGCCCACAGCAGATAAAAGTATTTGCAGATGTGAAAGCAGCTTTTTTCACTATCAGAGTTTGCAGTCCCATCTCCAGGAAGTAAAATAGTAAACATTTCATTCTTTTTGTTTCGGTGTTCCAATAATTTCAAGAAATTATCAAACAAGAAAAGAAATCCTGGAGAAGTTGAAAGACACAGACCTAAGCAGATGTTCCTGGAATCTTAAGGTCATGCTTCTTAGGCAGAATGTGTTTGTTAGCCTTACAATGAATAATCTGCTGGTGGGCTTTTTTCCCTGAGTAAATTATAATTCATTTCCTAGGAAATACCAGTTGTGTTACCTTCCTGCTATGAAACAGAATGGAACTAATGAAAAGATGGCCAGCCCACAGTAGCCTTAATTTTTTTTTAGTGTGTCTGACCCACCATTCCATTGGCATCTAGCATGGTGCACATATTTGAATGAGTATAGTAAGTAAAAGATACAGCTGTGAATTAAAGGCCCTGGAGGAGGTTATTGTAGCTCATCTATGTCTAGTAGATTCACTCTTGCTATAAGCCCATTCAGATAACCAAGGAAAATAGAAATTTCCTCATATATTCTCACTAAGCAGTTGCAGTCTCTTTAGGAAAGTAAGGAGTTGGGGTATGGTTTGGTTTTTTTCCCCTCCCATTTTTAAAACATATCCAAAGAGGAGATTGCAATTCACAGTGTGCCTTAGGATCCTTTCTCCCTATTCCAGACCTGTGTTATATCTGCCTTTCTGTGTCAAAAATAATTGGGTTGCTTGATGTGCATTGGTATCAAATTTAGTATAACTTATGGTAAATTTCATATCTTCTGTCTCCCAAAGGAGATTCTTGTTCGATAATAAATCCTGATGAGTTTCTTCTAGAAAACAGTATGAATATGTGTGCCTATAAAGACAACTTTACTGACTCCCTGTGGGGTGGAATTCCCAGTAAAAACAGATTTAGCATGTGGGCTGATACCTTTTTAGTATCACTGGGACAGCATTGTTTAGAGAAAGCCTTGACTCCATTTGAATAGCTCAGAGGATGCCAGGAGGAAGGCCAAAGGAAAAGGAAATGGGAGAGCTGTTGGTTTGTCTCACTCTTACATCAGATGACAGGAAGTCGGAATTGAGATTGGCCACAGCAACCTGTTGTGGCCACATCTGTTTGAATAACTTAGAAGCCCTATAGAAACCAAATAAATTTTAGAATAAAGAATCCAAGGATAGGATGGGGAGCTAAGTAGCAAGCAATAAATAGCTTGGGGTAAACTTCTGTTGGGAAGTTTTTTCCTTGACTATCTAGCTTCCTTATTTGACTGTATCCCAGAGTATAAACTGTGAGGGCAGATAAAGTTGGTTGATTACCCATGGCTGGTTGATTCACAGGACTGTCCAAGTTTCCCTGCCTTGTGTGGGACCAGCCTCAGTTGTGTTGTAGTTACACATTGTCTTAACTCAAGTTTCTGCAGATATGCCACAAGCTACAGTTTGATTTTGGATCTAATGATGAACTACAAAGGAAAGTCTTATAGACATTTTTATCATTATTTGTATGAAAATATGTGTGTTTTTGTTACTTTCATTTACTTTTTAGAGGGGTAGGCTTTGACTTTTGGAATGTGGGTGTGTATTGCTGATGGAGTTACAGTTATTCACAAATGCTATTTCATTGCCAAGAACTTAAAAATAAATAAATCAACACTATTTTTGAGCTTTTCTTCCAAAGAAAAACCAATGATGCTTGTGGGCCAGACAGCTGTTTGTTAGGTGTGGGTTTTTTGTTTGCTTGTTTGGTATTTTTACGTTGGACAGGCATATAGGCATGACAGTTCTACTTCCCTTTCCAAATAGAGGCAAACAATCTGCTTGCCAAATAAACAGCAGTTTGGAGGAAGATGGAGGGGCGGGTGTTAAATTAGCTGGAGTAAATTAGCTCCTGCTTTCATCTTGCACTTGAAACTGTGAGTGGTCAACAGAATTCCTAGAATGAACTCTTGGGCTCTTCTTTCTCCACAGATACCACCTCCTCAAGCTCCTCCAGAAGTTCGGCAAGGTGAAACAGTTTGACTTCCTCTTCCACAAGTCAGGCGCTTTGGAGGGGCAGCCTCGAGGGTACTGTTTTGTTAACTTTGAAACTAAGCAGGTAATTAAGCTTCTTTCTCTTTGATGGTAAAATTCTGTTATAATCATTTTGCATCTCCTGACTACTGCTACCCCAGTTCGTTGTGGGTAGGAGTCACGTCTAATTCTTCAGTATGTTTGCCTCTTTTAACACCTAATGTTAAAAATGATGCTTAGAAAACAGCTTGTGAAGTCGCCTCTCCTTAGATTCAAGATCTTAGGCCTACTTTAATGACCAAAATGATTTGGAATGTCCACCCTTCCCTATCTCATTTTGTTTCTTTAGTAGCTGACCAACAAAGCTTTCCTTCAGTACTTTTGCCCTTATAGTACAGAAACATTGTCTGTAGTGAGCCATATACAACTTTATTTTGCTTTCTTTAAAATGTACTCTCACCTGGGCGCTGTGGCTCACACCTGTAATCCTAGCAACTCAGGAGACTGAGATTTAAGAATCTCAGTTCAAAGCCAGCCTAGGCAGAAAATCTTTGAAACTCTTATCTCCAATTAACTACCAAAAAGCCAGAAGTGTTGGGCTGGGAAGGTAGCTCAGTGGTAGAGCGCTTGCCTTGCATGCCTGAGGCCCTGGGTTCGATTCCTCAGCACCACATAAGCAAAAAGAAAAAAGCTGGAAGTGGCGCTGTAGCTCAAGTGGTAGAGCGCTAGCCTTGAGCTGAAGAGCTGAGGTACAGTGCCCAGGCCCAGAGTTCAGGCCCCATGACTGGACCCCCCCCCCAAAAAAAAAAAAAAGGCCAGAAGTGGAGCTATGGCTCAAGTGGTAGAACACTAGCCTTGAGCAAAAAAACCTCAGGAACAGCGCTAAAGCCCTGATTTCAAATACAATCAAATTTTAATATTTATAGAAGAGCATGGTCAGCTTCATCCATAGAATATTTAGCTCTTAGGATGGAAATGCATTGATAAGGAAATGAAATTTTAATGTTATTAAATACAGAGATGCTGCTTAGTACACTGTAATTTTGTTGTATGTTGGTGTTGTATGCCTAGTTGTGATTTTATTAAGAACATGTACCTAATAACTTGTGGAGGAGATGGGGAAAAACCAGTTGTTTAAGGATACAGGTGGACCTGTTGCAACAATGAGAAGTACAAGTTGTCATGTCCAAAAC